CCTTCTCCCCCATGAGCCTCTGAGTGTTTCAGTGCCAGTTGGTGGATGATGGCGTGGGGGGACAGCTCCAGTGGCTGCCTTGGTTTGATGCATTTTGGGGAGCAGGGCAGCTGTCCCTGGAGTGATGCAGAGAGGGTTTTGGTTTTACTACCTCAAATGTGTGGTGAGAGCATAGAGGGCATTTTATTCACTCGTACAATACAGCTGGTATTGTAAATGTGAAAACAGACTGAACATCTTCCATGATAATGGAGCTAATGTGTCCTAGCACAGTTTATTCTAGGAGATATCCTGTCCACCTGCCCATGGTTTCACCAAGATTTAGTCTGACCTGGAGTGTCTGTGAGTTGATCACAGGCTGAATTTGCCTATTTGGAGGATGTGCAGGCACCAGAGTGACCCTTTCATGCAGCCCCCAGGGCAGGTGGGAAACACTGACACTTCCATGCCAGTCTTAGTGCTGCATCCAGTTTGAATGGTGGCTGACAGAAGTGGGACAGATGGCAGGGTTTTGATGCTTGACCTAGTCTGTCATGCATGGTGGGACACCATGCAGCCTGTCAGCAAAGTATCCACAAGGGACTCCAAAAGTTCAAGGCCAGGTTGGATGGGGCTTGGAGCAACCTGCTCTAGTGGAAGCTGTTCCTGCCTGTGGCAGGGGGTTGGAACTGGATGGGCTTTAAAGTCCCTTCTAACACAAACCAGTCTGGGATTCTTAAAAGCTAGATGGAGTTTCTAGCCTGCTGTCCCATTAGTGTGTCAGGAGGTTACATCCAGTGAATCTGGAACTGAAATCCTTTTGTTTTTAACCTGCCATTAGTAACCACATGCCCGAATTTATCTTACAGCCGTGGCTGTCCAGGAGGGCCTGATTTTTGTGGTGACAGGGGCACAGGGCTGTCAGCGTGGAAGGGACCCAGGAGCTGCTGCCAGGCTGCAGGGATTCTCGCCCATCTGCTGTGCAGACAACATAGAAAGCCCCAGAGTACTTAGAGGAGTAATAAGTGAGGTCCACACTGCCTGCCCAGCAATGCAGGGCCCTGGTCATGCATACCCATAGAGCACTGGGATCTAGACATGACCCTGTACCATTGTATGCATTGAGAGCAGTCTCCTGTCTTCGAACATGGGTTTGTGACCACTTTGTCCTTTTAATAAATAATGGAAAAGCAACTTCAAAAGACAAAGTTGGGTCCAGCTCCCCAGCAAGTAAATGATTCATCTCCCAGCATTTTCCTTGGGCTGTTGCAAGTCCCTCTCTTTGTGAACTTCAAAAGAAGAGAGCTGTCGTTTGAGAGAATGATGGACAAAAGCACCAGCATCCTGGGAGTGCAGCCTGACGGTATGCCTATTTTCAGCTGCTAGGGAAAGTGTGTTTATTCTAGCATGAAGGCGCTAGTGACTAAGCTCAAAATACTCTGAAACTGGTGCTGAAAGGACCTTGAGGTCATCCAGAATGTCCCACAGCTAAATAGATCAGACAGACATGTGAGGGATGAGCAGTACATAAAAGCTTGGGGCTTATGGGAGAGGACCCAGGGATTGTCACAGCAGGTAAAGATGGTAGGGCTGAAATGCCAAAGAATTTTAATTGTTTGAATTTTTCCAGGTGAGACATTAGCTAAATTCAGGATGGAGTGAAAGCAAAATATGGTCAGGAGCCAGCAGCTTAAGAGCAATCGATCCTGAAAGCAGCAAGCCATGCATGAATGTCCCTGGCTTTATCAAAGGAGATTGACTCTGTAGTCAGTGGGATGCATGTATTAAAGTAATGCATATTTAAAGTAGGCAGTGATGAATATGTGATTCCTTCTAGGCCGTTTACATTCCTTTTGGTGTAATTACAACAGCATCTATGCGCTGAGGCTAAACCTGTGCCAGCCTCTGCAGGCGCACAGTGACAAGTACCGCTTTGAGAGGGACTTGTTTAACTTAAGGCACTGTGCCGTAGCAGGAAGCTCAGCACAGGGACAGATCTGCTGACCCCTGCTCTGCACTGTGGGGCAGTCCCAGTGCTGTTTGTTTTACTCGTGTGGCTGCAGCCAGACCGTGCATTTCCCATCTCCATCGGGACAGTCCCCAGTGCAGCCCGGAAAGTGAGCTTTTCCTGCATCTTGCTTTCCCACGTGTGCAATAAGGAGATGCTTCCTCACCTCAAAGGGATGCTGCAGAAGTCCATTCTGATGTGGCAGGGAGAGGCTGAGAGCTGCAGAGTCTGTTTGCATGCACCACTCCCATGGTGGCTGCAGGGCAGCTCATGACTCGTGGTGGTTTTGGCACATTTTCTCTTCACTTCTGCCAGGGGCTCAGAGGGATTCATGGAGAGGAGCAAAAAAAATAGTCAAAATGACCACCTCTTCCCCCCAAAAATAATGAAATCATCCCCCCCTTACCTCAAAGTGCTGTTGGTGTCAGCACCTCTTGTTCATGGGCCCATATTACACCGACAGCCAAGTTATGAACCCTTTATAAAGGGGTTTATACCTCGACTGAACGAGTAGCCCAGACAGAGCACAGCTTCTCTGAAGGGCTGTTGCCATCAGTCTTAACCTGCTAATGTCATGGGGTTAAAAATACACCGGGTGCAGAATGGCTGGTAAATGCTTTTTTTGTCACGGCGCAAGAATGACCGTGGTGGCAGTGATCCAAACCTCTTCCCTCCTGCTGGAACGGCTTCCCTTCTGCTCATGCACCAGCCAGGGCCTTCATCCAGGGAAGCATCTCCTCATTGCGTAGCTCCATGTGTACGTTTTTCATCACCACTGCAGGCTTGTCTGTAAGGAGAGACATTGCATCCAGGTGGAAGGTCACTCTTGCACTAAAAAGGAGCCCACGCTACCATGTCATTTAAAATCAAAGTCAAATGGGTTTTGGTTTTCATTTTTAGGAGCCAAATCCCAATTTAAATCAGCAGGAGATTTTTGGGGGACTTCATGCTGCATTAGACTAGTTGTTAACTCACTTATGACTACCATTGACAAGGGTGCTGCAAGTCCCACATATCCCCACGCCTCTCCTTCCCCTCTCAGAAACTGAGACTCTGCAACTGGTGGTGAGCGTGCCAGGCTAACCTGTGCATGGGCATGTACGCAGGAGGGGGACTTTATACAAGGGAATGTAGGGACATGACAAGGGGAATGGCTTTAAATTGACAAGAAGCTCCTGCATAAGAGTCAGAATAAGTGAGGTTGGAAAAGAGCTTTAAGCTCATCTAATCCAACTGTTCCCCAGCACTGCCAAGGCCACCACTAACCCATGGCACTGAGGCCTCGTCTCCACTCTGTGTGAACACTTGCAGGGACGGTGACTGCAGCCCTGCCCTGGGCAGCCTGGTCCAATGCCTGAGCACCCTCTGGGGAAGGAATTGTTCCTCAGCTCCATCTAAACCTGCCCTGGGGCAGCTTGAGGTCGTTTCTTCTTGTCCTGTCCCTTGTTCCTTGGGAGCAGAGACCGACCCCACCTCACTACAACCTCCTGTCAGGCAGTTGTAGGGAGCGATCAGGTCCCCCTGAGCCTTCTCTTCTCCAGCAGAATGTGCAAACCATTCTGCATGTGCAAACTGGAGCTGGTTCCTTGACAAACACGCTGCCACGTCCTCCACCTGCCGTGCTGCTGAGCCCTGGGCAGGGCACTGAGAGCTGCTGCTGGAATGTTGGTCTGGCTGAATTCACTGACAAAGCTTTATAGCTCCTCTGGAGCATCTCCATTTCCCGAGGAGCAGCGGGAGCTGTTTCACAGCCTGGGAGTGCCCTCTGGTGTGCACAGGAGACAGTAAAGATTGTAGTTTATGAAATGGTTTCACTTGGCTTTCTCCTTTTCTTAAAGCTTTGTAACCAGCGTGGTTATTTGTTGAAGGCTGCCAGGTATGTACATGCCATGAGGCACCAAGATGTGCCCTCCAGACCCATCCGGTGTGCCATAAGCATTTATACACCCAGCAGTCAATGGTCACTTTATGATACATGCCACGTGTAGCATATCAAGCAGGAAGCTTTTGATGTCTCAGTTCCTGTTTCCTTCCAGCAATGCCTGGCAGGTCCCAAAACCAGCCTGCAGCAGGTCCTGCTCCTGCTGTTCCCAGGCAGTGCCTCCAGGCGTGTGTTTAGGGCTCCTTGACCAAGCAGCACAAGCAGAGCCACTCCAGTGCTAGGCTGCATTCAAACCCCTGGCTGAATAGGGAGGCTGGGCTGCAAAGAGGTAAGAGCAGCTTTTTATGAGCAAACAAAACCTACCCCATTCCTCTAAGAGGAAGCACTCAGAAGAAGTGGTGGCATCATGAGCAAACGTTTGCCATAGTTAGTGAACTGAAAGCAGACAGTGAATGTGAGGCATAAACACAAAAGCTACAGCAAATATAAGTCTTCCCATATGTAGAATTCTTTCTTGGAACAGCTTTGTCATCCTGTCTCTGTTACCAAAACTCTGGTTTGAAAAAAACCCACTCATTTAAATGGTTTCCAGCTTTTGTTGGCAGCTACAGTGACAAAGGTGCTGGTGGGGAGCAGAGGAGCATGTTGAGGTACCTGGTGCTGCACTCTGATGTGTGTAGACTGGGTGGTTGGGTATTCCAGTGTCTTACCTGGCACCTTCTAGAGGAACAGCTAGGTGTGACATTCTAAGGGACAATGTCACGTATGGACCACACACTTCATGCCTCTTTGTCTTTCCTCTTTGCTTGTCTCCTGGTGTGTTTTCCAGTGTGAGTACCCTCATCTGCTTTTGCCAGGTTATTTTGTGTTATGATCTGCCAGGAGGTGCTCCAGGTTTGCAAACCAACCTCCTCCTGCCCACAGGTGGGACTGCTGCCTGGATCCAGCCATCCATGTTCATCAGCCAGCAGAAGAGGAGGCTGGGAAGAGCATGCTAGGGTTGGATGCTCTTCTCCAGCTGTGCCATGCTCAAATGTCTTCATGGTTGTTTGCTTCTCAGCAGTCAGTTTTTGCTCACATTTTCTCCCTGCTTTCTGCTGACCTTTCTCTTCTGTGTTTTTTTTTTCTCAGGTCGAAAGCTGAGGGGAAAAGCTTTTTATTTTGTCAATGGGAAGGTGTTCTGTGAAGAAGATTTCCTGGTAAGCACACAGCTGACCCTTGTGCTGGTACATCTCAGCCTCCCCAGCAGACATGCAGCCTTTCTGCCTCAGCTTTGCCTGGGTTTCACGCAACTCTAGTCCAGCATCCTGCCTGGTCCTTCTGCTCCACCACCTGCCCAGGGCCAGCTCCAGCCATGGTGACTGCCCACCTGTCCCTGGAAGTGTCCAAAACCTGTGTAGACGAGGCCCTCAGTGACATGGTTTAGTGGTGGCCTTGGCAGTGCTGGGGTAAAGGCTGGACTTGATGATAAAAAGCCATATGCCCTTCTAGCCCTGAGTCCTGATAGATTAAGCCTTCATTGAAACTTAGAAAAGTCATCTTTGCCTACTTATTGGGTAAGTCTAGGGATTTCTGTGAGAGAGAGTTAATCTTTGCTCTCATCAGTCTATGTTACACAGGCTGAAAATTGAAAGATTGGCTAAATGCATCCAAAATACTTAATTTTTCCAGTTTTCATGTCTACTATTCAGACAGGACCAAAACCTCAGACAGATGTTGTGTTGTGTTCAAGGTGCATGTTGTGGACGTGACAGGCAGTTCCGTACCATTTATACCTCGGCAACAGCAGCAACATGTTGCTCTGAGCCAGACTCGATTGTTACCCTAACAGGGAGCTGGGACAATAACATGGACCTTGGAGAAGCTTCAGTAGACTTATAACAGTGAAAAAAGAGGAAGAATTTGGCTTATGAGCCTATAAAAATAGATATTGTGATGTGAATACGTGATAAACACAAGCTCCTGGCTTATAGATTCAAATGGTCAAATAAGCATGTAGATCTTATTAGTAAATGCTTTGTTTGCACGTGCATTTATGGTATTTATTTATACACTTAATTAAACTTAAATTTAGAGCTTAGAAGTTGCAGGAATTCATACTCCTTATGAATACTGGAAGTCTGGTGTCTCCATAGGTTATTTTCTGGGGACCCATGCGGAGCTTTCCATATACTGAAAAAAGCACTGGAAAGTTTAGCTTGTGTATGGAATACAGGAAAGGGCCATGCAAATAACACCCCACAATGTGCTGTTGCTTATGCTCGACTACCCTTGTGAAATTAATTTTTGTCCTTGCAGTATTCTGGTTTCCAGCAGTCAGCTGACAGATGCTTCATTTGTGGTCATTTGATAATGGACATGGTAAGTGATAATTGCTTTAGGAGACAAAAAAAAATCTAACAGCTTTTTGGAAGAATGCACCAAAGCCAAAATATATTCATAGCCAGTAGTGTCTGTTATCATCTGGGAGTCTGCCCAATGGGCGACTGGTAGCAGAAAGAAAATTCACTCATTGTTTTGCTGACCTTTGCAAGGAAGTGAAGCTGTCATCCACCTGTGTATGGTGCAGAGGCTTTGCTCTGCCTGTTTTCAGTGCATGTTAAAAGCAGAGCCTTTGGCTCTTTCATACTGTTTTGGGCTTCCCTGGGCAGTGTATTGCATGATCCTGTCGATGCTTCCTGCTTCAAAGGGCTCCCTTGCTGTGGGGCATCAGTGTGGCTCTGCTGAGCCTGTCTTTCCTGTAGTCAACCTGGCTTCCCATGTGCCTTCAGGATAAAGCTACTGTCTTGTCTTGGTTTTTGTGGGTGCTGATACTCTGGGAAACAGGGTTGACCCAGAATATGTGATCCAGACCTCAGTTTAGATCTGCATGCGTCCTTGCAAACTCTTCAGTGGGTGCATGGACATCCTGCTGCAGCAGGCAGTTCTTGTTAGCCTAAAACAGGTACCATCCATTCAACATGTACACAGAGTGGGTCATGGCTCAGCACTGCTCTTTAGCCAGCACTGGGCAGCATTCAGCCATGATCTGAGTGATTCAGGGGGAGATAAATCTGTGATCGTGTAGCTGGGGGTGTAAAACTACAACTGAGGCAAAGAAAGGAGGAATTCCTGGGTGGTCAGCTCACAGCATGCCCTCCAGGGTTGTCTAATGCTTATCTTTCATTATCTTTGCTTGCCTGCTTACCCTGGAAAGCATTACAACTGGAAAAGCTCTTTTATACTCCAAAGGCTCATCACTCAGCGGATGAGCCATGGTATTCCAAGTAGTAATTGCTGCCCCAAAGCCAGCAGGTGAATTGCAGCTGTTGATCTTAACAGTTTCCATAGACTGTGTAGATTAGGAAGCCAGGCAAAGCTCTTTGATATCTAAGGAACCATGAAAACCTAGCAATAGTATTTGTTTCAGCCTCCCATGGAGAGTATAGAGATGTATTTCCTTTTGTTGGCCAGGTATGTCTTGCCTTGTGATCCTGCTACATACTCTCCACCTGTTGGCTTTGGAAATTATTTTCTTTGCTTTAAAATCTATCACTTCTATCCTTTGCAATGCTAAATGCCTTGACTGAGACTCTAAATTGTTTTCTTACCCATGCTAATAATTCATTTCACTGGAACCAGGTGATATATACTGATTCCAGCTGCCCTTTCCATCCTTCTTAACTCATGTTACAGATGAGGTGCCTGAAAAGAGACACAGCCCTGCTGATGAACATGCAGCCTGGTATAAAGCTGTGTATTTGTTATTTTCACCTTTACTGGCTGTTCACATGCATTTTTCCTGTTTCTTGGTTTGTTGCAGATCCTGCAGGCTCTAGGGAAATCATATCATCCAGGCTGCTTCCGATGCGTGGTCTGTAATGAGTGTCTGGATGGTGTGCCATTCACTGTAGACTCTGAGAACAAAATCTACTGTGTCAGAGATTACCACAAGTAAGGACAAAATAGCAGAGATGCTCCTATCAACAAGCCTCTAATTCAGCTTTTCAGCTAGTTAGGACGTGTGGATTAGTAAAATAGGGCCAGGTTAGAAGGTACAAGTTTGAAGTTAGGGTTAGACCCTAGAAATTCCAGGTGTTTCTCTTCTTGTCCTGCCATTGACTCCTGTGTAACTCTGAGGAAGCCGTTTATCCCCTGGGCTTCAGCTGCCCTTCTGCAAAGCAGACACAGTGAGGAACAGTGGTCAGGAGGTGTTCAGTGATGTCAGAAGTTAGTCTGCTCTAAAGTAAGACTGTGAATGCCTGTGGAAATCAACGTGAGTTACTTTTTGAGTAGCTGAAGGGCTGAGTTTGCATGTAAAGAATCACCACTGAACCCGCAAAGCAGAACTTTAATCCAGCTCCAAATTCAACAGCTGATAAATCCACTTAAAATCATTTGTCATTTAGGCAGTAAAACAAAAAGGCAGTGCTCTTTGCTGGTAGTTACTATATTAGAGCTGCATACATTTTGAGTGTCCTTCTGGTTTGCTTTGCTCAGTTTTCTTAAGTCTTGCCCAGGCAGCTCCTGGAACTAGTCTGTGTTGGGCCAAGAGGAGAGTTGCCTCCATGTGCCACTGTTGTTCTGAAATGATATGCATTGCAATGTTATTTATTTATCATACGATGTTGTGTTCTGATGTGTTTCTCTGGGGATGGGTCCTGCTCGGTTTCTCCTCATTTTCTCTTCCAAATCTCGCAGTAGCAGCCAAGAATTTTACAGAGGGGTGGTTGTTTTTTCTGGCACTGAGTGTAAAAGATAAGGTCTCTTTTTGCCTGATTGAGCAACATGTGCCAAGCATTGCTTACAATGAATGCTAACATGAATTTATGATCTTGGGATGCAAAGCTTTCCTGTGGATAAGTTAGTTGCAGCTGCAGCTTTTTATCATATCGCTGACAACACACAGGCCTCTCTTTTTATGTTGATCCATAACTTGCCTTCAATTTCTCGTTGCTTTTCCAGAGTTTTAGCCCCAAAATGTGCAGCATGTGGACTTCCCATTCTGCCCTCCGAGGTGAGAGCCTTTTAATGCATGTCCCCTCAAGGGAGGAAGCATCATGTCTCAGGTCTTGTTCTCTTTCACACTTGACCCTGTGTCAAGGCAAATATACTTGTGGATGGGGAGAGATGATCGCTTCCCCCAAAGTGCAACCTTTTGACCCGAGCTATTATGCTGTTGTTGAGATGTGACCTTTCTTTTGTTCTTGCTGGGCCAGGCTGCTTTTTCCATCTCCTGCAGGATTGTACTGCTGCTAGTTTTATGTCCAGGATACCCTTCCTTCATGTCAATAAATGCTGGTGGCACTCATGAATGACATGTGTGACCCCTCAGGGACCAACTCATTTTAATACTTTGAGGAGATGAATCTTGGGCAAAACTAATTGAAAATGCTGAGAAATGTGATATATTGAAATTACCAAATCAATATGCATAGATTCACAGGAAATTTGGGGTTAGGAGGGACCTTAAAGCTCATCCCGTTCCAACCCCCTGCCACAGGCAGGGACACCTTCCACTAGAGCAGGTTGCTCCATCCCCATCCAACCTGGCCTTGAACACTGCCAGGGATGGGGCATCCATAATGTGTGATTTGAGATAGATGCGACTGTTAAACAGAGAGAATTTTACATTTCTGGTGTTGCATTTTAGAGGATATCTACAGTCAGTCAGTGATGAAGCTTTACTGTAAAATTAACTGCAGGTGGCAGGATTTATTTGGGGTGTCTAACCAGCAGCCCACATTCATTTCCTCGACATTCCCATCGTTGCAGGAAGCAGTCAACAGAGTGCATGTGTCAGATCCTGCTGCAATCTTTTGTAATTACTCTTTCGCTTGAATGCTTGCAGGGGTCTGATGAGACCATTCGGGTTGTGTCCATGGACAAGGATTACCATGTGGAATGTTATCACTGCGAGGTAGGTCAGCAGCTTTTCAGGAAGTGAGCACTTAATAGTGATAACTACTTTTACTTTTAAGATAGAAATAAATCTGCTGCCTTCCAATGGCCATTCAAACCTTGCATTATGTGTCCTTCGTATCAGTGGCTGAGAAATGTCCCGTTGAGTACAGATGTTTTTGCAATTTCATTTGCTATCCATAAAGTTATGGGCAGCTTATTTGTTAATGAAGGAAATGTAGTGACTTAATAAGGTTTATTGCTGGCTTTCAGAAGCCTTGAGCTCCAGATCACATTAGTGTATCTGATTTCCAAGTCAGATTGTTCAAAAGTGCTAAAGTGATGAGTGATCCTGTGTGGTATAAGTTACCTTTAGTCTCCTGGGAAATGAATGTGTCATTGGGGCTGGAGAAAGGATATGGCTGCACAAAAAGTCCTAAGAGATGCCAGCTCTTAAACACCATTTGGTCTTTGTGCAGAGCTTGTCAGAGAGCCTTCATATTCTGCTGTGAATTAAAATAAAGAGATGTCTTCTTTCACTGTGCTCATAATGCAGTGAAAAGAGGCTGTGTCTCAGCAGGCTGGTTTCACATCACTACTGCTGCAATTAAGGTAATGCGAAGAGGTGAATCCTACCCCAGAGTGTAAGGAGACACGAGCATGTTTAAAATACATAGGGTTGCACCTCTCCACAAGATAAAGCTTATTCAATAAGGCTACTTAATACAAATGGGTACATGGCTGCCCCTCAAAATGCGTGTGTCAGATGCTTTCCTTCTCATGGCACATGTTGGACTTACTAAGAAGGAGCTGTTGGGTGGGTGTCTTCTGTCCTTGTCACAGAATCACATTCCTGGAAGCCAGACCCCAGCTGACACTGGGAGATGAACATATGCTCTCATAATTTGAGCTTCTCTTTGCAGGACTGTGGACTGGAACTGAACGACGAGGATGGGCATCGCTGTTACCCACTAGATGAACACTTGCTTTGTCACTCCTGTCATCTGAAACACATAGAGAACGGCACAATGCCAGCAGCTGCATACCAGCACCACTACTAGCCTGCACGGCTGACATCAGAAAGCCAGGACAGAAGATGGTTACATGATCTCCCTCTCCCCACCCTCAGTTGGTTTCCTGTGCATGTTTTTCACCAGTCAATGATGTTCCTGCAAAAGGATATGAGAGATTTTAGCTGGATTCCCAGGGGTTTTATGCTTGTGAGTTCCAGCTGTATCAAACCAGGTCTACTTGACCAAGAATGTGGTGTGTTACCTAAACTGGTTTACTTCTACGTGCCTTTTTCTGCTGTCTGGAGATTCCTCTTAGCTCCTTGTGGAAGATTCTTCAGTGAAAGCACAATTTGCTGTCGTGCCTATGAACTCAAATGGTGCCATGCACAATTAAAAAGCCGGAGGCTGGCTTGTCTGTCTGCCTGCCTGCCTGATGGGGACATCGCATCGGTCTTACATTAAGAATTTCCTGAGAAGCACATTTCATCAGATTCCCTGAAGGACATCAACCTTTTAATACCAGATTTTAGACACTCTCTTTTTATTAATTCTTTAGGAAAAGACAAGAAAGGGGTCTGTGCAAAATGGATCACTCAGACCTTTCAGTTAATTCCCAGGTATCGAGCCTGGCTGTAAAAACACCAACTCTCCAAGCACGAATCAGGTGTGCTGGCTGGCAGCTGGAGGCCAACATCCCATTTCAAATAGAACAGAAGACTGGAGCAAGCTAGGCTGAGCTACCACGATGACTTGGAGTTCTGGGCTTGCATGTCAGCATGATACACAGGGGCCAGCCTACTGTGTCTGAGTGAAGGGTGGATCATGTTTGGAAAGGAAAGGTCGGGATGCTGAAAGTGTGGACATGGGGGAAATCCATCTTCATTCCCATTTGCAGAGCAAATGCTCTCCCTACAGAGACACTTGCCTGAGTTTCCCAGTTGGTCCCCACAGCTCAGCCCCTGGGCTGGTCACTCATTTCCATGGTGTTTACCCAGCACAAAGCCATTTCATAATGGTGCTTATTTAGAGCTCGAGGTCCTTATGGAGGCTTTGTTTCACGGGGATTTAGAGCCCAGCTCCACAAGCTGTACTCAGATGAGTATGTTGGTATAAACAAATGTGCTCCCATGAATAACAACAGCTTATATGAGAGAGGGATTAGAGTTTGGCCCTTGCTCTCTAAAGCAGAAAGGCAAATCGTTTCTCTTTTTGACCCCTGCTCAAAGGAATGTGCTCCCCCAGTTTGTGTTACCTAGGTGATAGATGTGCCTGCAGGGCATGCTCTGTAGGTGCCAAAGCTGTGCAGCCCCTCATGTACAGGTACAAAGTTTTTCTTTGAGGAAAAGCTCTTAATTTAAAGCCTCAGGTTCATTTGGGGTTCTTAGTTACCCTTTCTAGCATATTGTGTTGAGTTAAATTGTCATCTGTCTATGCTAAAGATGTAAATTTGGTTCTGACTGGCAAGAAGATGACATTCTTGAAGATCTTTTTAGTGAAGAAACTACAATAAATTAGCTGAGCAGTGGCACTGGGACTCCAAAAATGAGCCTGTGCTGAGAACCCACCATGGTTCAACCAGACCTCTTTATCAGTAGCATACACGTAGGTGCTTGAACATCACACCATGTAGTCAGACTGACTCCCTCGTGTGCCCACCAGGAGCAGCTCAGGTGCTGGGTAGCCACAAGCTGCCTGACTGCTAATACACACCACGGGCCTTCAATGTGTGTGGTACAAAATGCTGTGCTAAGTATTAAATGGTAAAACAAATGGAGACCAGTGACCTGTTAGCACCCTCCAACACGTCTGTATGGCTTGCCTTGGCTGAAATGTGAACATCCCAAACTGCCCACGCCTCAGGAAGCTTTGGCATGGAGTTTGATGAGACCAACAGGCTATGCAGCCTTCTGCCCCATCCAGCTGTAAGCACCTCTGCCTGCTGTTATTGCTGTTGGGGATGGCAGCACACATCTGGAGGTCAGTCCTGTGCTGGGAACTACCAGGAGCTCCAGCTTTGATGTAGCTTGGCTCTGCAGCCCATCAGTAAGAGACCGAGAGCTCAAGAGTGGAAACTTCTCCAGTGCAGTGTATGTGGCCCTGGGGCATATTTATCTTTGGAGAGTTGTACATGTGATTTAAGAGGGGGTAAAATTGACCCCAAATAAGGCCTTAAATTTAGATTCCAAATGCTGCGTAGTGAGGGATGGGAGCAGGTTTCAAGGTGTGACTGTGCTCTTAGGACTGTCAGAAGGGACTGAGGTGGGACATAACAGCTGGTAAATAACTTATTCCCAAGCACGTGGGTCCTGTCCCTGAGCTTCCTTTGACAGCAAGGTATCAAAGTGGTTTCTGGAAGTGAGGTGGAAACAGCAGCCTTGGTCGCCCGTTACTGTCTGTGAGAGATCAGCTATTCTGTGGCTCATGGTTTTGATAGCTCTTGGGTTTTAGAGCATTTCCTGCCTTTGTTTTGGAAAGATCTGAAAACACCAATGGGACTGATGCTTTCTTTTTAGCTGCAGTTTAAACTGTGGCCTCGCTCTTGCACAACCCCAAAATTGCAGGAAAGAAGGGAGGATGGAGATGAGCCATTTTCCTTCATGGAAAGCCTCAAGCAACCTGTTTGTGGTGAGCTGTCTGGAGGAGCCCCCTTTGATCACTGGGAAGCTGCACTCACACAGTGTCTCCTTACTCCTGCCAGCCATAGAATCACAGACTGGTTTGGGTTGGAAAGGACCTTAAGATCATCCAGTTCCAACCCCCTGCCATGGGCAAGGACACCCCACACTAGATCTTGGGTGACATCAAGGCCCTGGCCAACCTGGCCTTGATCCATCCTGTATCCTTCAGCGCTGGGGAAATGAGGGCTGCCCTACTTTCAGTTTTGAGGTCCTGTGTAAATTATTAAGTGCCAGTGCTCTCTTTTCCTGTGTTTACAGAGCTAGAAACAACAGTGTGAAGCTACTGAAAATGGAGCATGTGAGCTTGTGGGTTTGAAGCTGAAGCATCTACTGCATTGCCCTGAGTGTACTGACTTGCTCCGCTTTTATCTTTGTCAGTTAGAATTCATTTAAGCTCATTATTTCTCCAAGGCTGTGGGTATCTTGAGTCCCTGTTGATTGTCCCCAGCTTGTCTCTGGCTCTGCAGCTGCTTGACAGTGGGTCTGGGATGTGGGAATCATAGAATCAGACTGGTTTGTATTGGAAGGGACCTCAAGATCATCCAGTTCCAGCCCCCTGCCACGGGCAGGGACACCACACATTAGATCAGGTTGCTCCAAGCCCCGTCCAACCTGGCCTTGAACACTGCCAGGCATGGGGCAGCCACAGCTTCTCTGGGCTGCCAGTTCCAGTGCCCAAAGAAGGGGTAAACTTCCCTGTGTTCCCTGCACAGGGAAGGCTTCTCCTCCTGACCCCTCCACCAGGAATCAGTGGAGCTGCAAGCCCTTGCTGCCTGTCTTCAGGCAGGCAGGTGGCTCAAGCTGGAGCTGCTTGGCTTTGTCCCCTCTGCAGAGGAGCTGCAGGAAAGGTGTTCAGTTCTGCCTGTCTCCTGGCTCATACACATTGGGTTCTGCATTGGGTTCCTATGAACCCTGCTGTCTATTTATTGAGGTGCTGAAGCATGCCATGAAAAGTTAGTCCTGTTTCCTCCCCCAGAGTGCTTTTCTGGCTGGTTTTACGGCATGGGACCCCTGAAAGTCCCATTGTGCTGGTAATGAGCAATTCACATGCAAATAGTTACTCAAGTGAATTCCCTGGAACTTGCTTTCAGGAGCCAGAGCTTAATAGATTTTTTTTTTCCCCATTCAGATCATGCTGTTAACACAAAACCTCATTTGAATAGGTTTTTTTTTTTTTGCATAAAAGCTGGTGAAAAGGCCTAGCTATAGACATTTGTGTGTGGTTTAAAACGTAAGAAACACGTGTTCTAGTGATTTAGGAAACTGGTATTAAACACAGGGAGCAGCAGTGTCAGGCAGGCTGTGAGGAGCATCTGATGAGGTTTGTGCCTCCTTCTGAGTTTTGCTTGGGGGCTTTTAAAATGTTTTCCCAGTCTTCCAGGGTTTAAATGATTTTATTTGTAGATCTTTTGACTACAAAGTGAATGGCTCCTTGGGCTGGAAATGGTGGAATTTAATCGGCATTGGGCCTTGAAAGGGGGAAAATGGACTTGGAAAGAGTGGGTATGGGTCTGGCTGGCTGTTCAAAAGACAGGGTTATCTTTGGCTGCGGAGAGGAAGAAGTGATTATCTTCCAGTGCTTTCTCCTTGCGCTGATGTTAGCAGGTATTTGACATCCCTGAATTTCCATGTTTGGGCCTGTCCATAAGTGCTGCTGGGACCTCCACCTCTGTCCTGTGAGTTGACAGCCCTGAGGGGAATCACAGGCACATGCTTCCTGATGAATTCAGTCCTTATTTTGCTCTTCCCTGGAAATTTGACCACCTTCTTATTTCAGCAACAGCAAACCTGGGGCCTTGCTTAAAGGGAAACTGATACACGCTTTGACCTCCACATTGCCTGAGTATCATCATACGTACAGGGACTCTGTACTCTGCTGCTGTTGCTAAGAGAATCACAGGAAGAGCTCCATTTGCATTCAATTTCCAGTCCCACTGGAACCAGTAAGGCTGCACATGTACATGAAGATCTATGTGTGTGCATGGATCAGTACTGGATCAGGGGCAGAGTGGTGTTACTACAGATGAGGCATATCTGAGGATGAATCTGCGGCAGTGTAAGAGTGGCCTTGAAATGACCACTGGAATGGACTGTCAGCTTTTCTGTTTGATAAACAGTATGGTCTGCAGCTCTGAGGTGCACAGAGAAAGGATGTGAAGGACTTGCTTTTGGTTACCATATTCCTGGACATTTATTAGAGGGGGTTTTAAGGGGAAACACACTTCCATACACTGGTCTGGACCATTCTTCTCCCATGCCAGCCTTGGCTGCGTGCTCTGTGTTCACTTTTGGGGTGGTGTGTGCTGTTGTGTCTGTGCACATGGAAGTGAGAGCCCTGCCTTTCATACCTCTGTGCTCATGCCAAGTGCCTGTAGATGCATTTTGAGCAACTTTCTGTGTATGAGCATAAGGACAAGTTGACCCAGCCTGCATCACTGGGGAAACATCTCTGGAGTCAGTACCTGCGGGCAGGGAAGGCCTATGACCAGATCCACATCCCTTTTCCCCCGTCCTCTGAGGCCTGTGTGTCACTGGGAGAAGCTGGGAGGGTGTTTGTGTTTCTCATCACATAATGTTTGTGTGTTCATTCTTCTTTTCCATTCCTGCACCCTGCCGTGAGCCCAGACAGAGCCTGGACCTGCTCACCCACCCTTTTCCTAAGGAGAAGCGGAGCAATAAAACCCCTCACCCTGCTTTCTTCCAGGGCAGCCAGAAGCTCACATAGCCATATGCAAGTTGAGAGATGGGAAGAAACTAGCTCCATGTGAACATACACGGCATAGAGCCCCACGAAGGCTGACCACAGGGATGCCCTGTGGAGCATCCACAGGTGGAGGGATGGCCAGGCTGCAGTTCCCAGCCCTGGTGGCACCAACCCTTGTCTCCACGCAGCAGGTCTGCGGAGCACAGCCAGACCTGGGTATGCTCTCACAGGCTGTGGCTTTCTGTATCCGGGAAGCAAATCCAGAGCCTGGCTTAATGATACTCAACGGTACTAATGATTTCATTTGTTTCCTTCAAAGCTCAGCTCCAGGAAAGAGTGTTTGAGGATTTGTGGTGGTGTAACTACCCTCAGCCACCTCTGAACACAGCCCTCTTCTCTGCTGTTACATATTTATAAAGGAATGAAGGCCGGCAGCGGGAGCTGTTGTGATTTTGGTGATTAAAGGCAATACGGTAAAACAATGGTAAAACAATGCTCAGCGTCAAGTCTTACCTAGAATGATGATTGCCATTGCACAGAGTCCTCAGGGAGGGAGTTATGCTGTGGAATGATGGTTTCTCAGCCTCTGCCTTCCTCCTGTCCCCCCCTCATTGGTAGCTGGAACAGGGACTGGTGGGAGAAACCTCCTCAGTGGGCATTTCCAGTCCTTCACAGGCCACTGGTCTTTGCTGCAGCCCCATTGGAGGCCATCCTGCTCCTGCATCCCGATGGGGAGACCTGGGTGTGAGGAGCTGGGGAGAGATGTGGCAGCAAGCTCCAGTCACAGCATGGGGGGGCTCCTTTGTGGCATTGGTGGGAATGGTTCCATAGGGGATTTTGGGGAGAGAGTTCCTGTGGCTCTGGGAGGTAGGTGGCCACGTGGTGCCCCATGGTCTTCACTGCTACCAGTGACTGTGACACCTTATAGAATCATAGAATCCCAGACTGGTTTGCACTGGAAAGGACCTTAAGATCATCCAGTTCCAACCCCATGCCTGAAGATGGGATGCTTGAGTGCTGATGGTCGAGCAGCACCAAGGAGCATGGAGCTATCGGCTAAAATGAAGCAAATATACAGGAGTGAAGTATACTTCAGGCTTCCCCCTCCTCAAGGCAAACTTCCCAAAACAAGGGGATCCTAAGGGTTGAAGGGACCTCTGGAGATCACCCAGTGCTACTTCACCTGCCAGGGCAGAGCCACCCAGAGTGTGTTACACAGGAACGTGTCCAGGAAGGCCTGGAATGTCTCCAGAGAGGGAATGATGCCCTGGGATGATACCCAGAGGGCTGGATCCAGTGGGAAACTGTCCAGAAGGCCTGCCCCATGCAGACCCCCAGATCTGGGGTGTCTCCGTAGGCCCATATGGACAGCAGCCCCTCCCACAGCAGCCTGTGTTAAGGGCTGCCACGGACACACACCTCTGTAACGCACATCCAACCCCGGGATGCTTTGTAGGGGTCTCCAGAGCACCCCAGATGTGCTGGGCACATAGGGAATGCCAGACTGGGTATATACAGGAGGCGGGAGGCTGCCCAAAAGCGGAGGGGGTGCAGGCAGCACCTCAGGGATGGAGTGAAAGAAAAAGAGCAGCCGAGCCAGCCAGGAGTCGAACCTAGAATCTTCTGATCCGTAGTCAGACGCGTTATCCATTGCGCCACTGGCCCTGCTCCGGGAACGGGTGCTGCCCACACACACTTAGGCCCCGCAGGGGGCAGCCAATTCAGCGTGGCCTCCTCACCTAAACCCCACCCTCTCGGGCGTGGCTTACCGCCGCGCTCGCGCACTGGCCAATCCCCGCCGCTTCCTGCAGCGCGTCACCGCTCCGGGGGCGGGGTCAGAGCGCGGCGGCTTAGCCAATCGTGGTGCGAGCCAGTCAGCCCAGGCCCGCCCCCTTCCCCTGCGGGCGGTGGCGGTGCTCGGTAGTGCTCCTGCGGCCGTTTGTCCTGCGTGGGGTTCCGTCCCTCAAGGCCGGGGACGCCTCAGTGTGGAGGGGAGGGAGCGGCCGGGAGTAGACGCGGAGCCGGGGACCGTAGGAGGGGCACCGAATGGCGACGGCGGCGGGAGCGGCGGCAGCGGCGGCCTATGCCAGCCTGAAGCTGTGAGTGACCCTCGGGGGGGGGGGGGGTGGTCTGTCACCGAGCGGAACCGGCCGTTGGGACCGCGGTCGCTTGTCCCTTCCCCTCACGGACCCGGTGTCCCCCGGAGCCCAGTGGCGGCTCGTTGTCTGGCCCGGCCCTCGCTAAGCGGGTGCCCCGGCCTGTCCCACCCCGCCTTGGGGCCTCCCCGGGGTGGGGTAGGACAGGCCGGGACAGCCGGGTCAGCGCGAAGGGCTTGGCCCGAGGCAGCGGCTGCGTGCGGCGGCCCGGAGCGGGAGGAGGAGGAGGAGGACTTTGGCCGTGGGTGCAGCTCCGCTCCGCTTTGACTGTCCATCTGATAGCACGGCAGCAGCGCAGCTCGGGTGTCGGTCTCGCTTCCCTCCGGGAGGCTGATGCGTGCGGGTGCTCGGTGTGCTGGGCGCGGTGCGCTGCCCTGAGCACCGCTGGGCTCACGGAGGAGGTGGTGGGGAGCCCCGGCTGCCGCCTGCTTCCTTCATAGGTGGTTGCTGTATACACCCGACCGCTGGTGCGAATGGAAAGCTTTGTGTGTGCAATGTTTCCTGCCCGCAGAAGGTTCTTTAGGTGTGCGTACCCATCAGTCTCTTACAGCACAGCTTTATTTTGGTGCCAGTTGATGATTTTGAACTTGTGGGACTCTCCTGTGTAGTGCCTACTGTGACTGCCCAAATAAATCCTTGTAAGCTTCTGGTGTAATTTATTTTCCTATTAAAACAAGGGGTTTAGGGGAGAACGTAACCCTTTGGGCTTGTACATTTGCTTCCTGCCTTTTACACAAGTGAAAGAAGTTGCATAACCAAAGCAATGCAAAGTTAAATCTGAAGATGCTGGCTGGATGAACCTTGTGAAAAGATGACTGGTTGGAACTGGATGATCCAGAGGTTCATC